TTGTGAGATTGTTTGTTCTTCTTACATCACTTTGTAAAGCGAGTTCCGCTATGAAGCCTTGTGGGGTGGCTTGGGGATGCGGCTCGTGCTTGACTTGTTTCTTTTTTAGGCATGCTCACACCTTTCCCATATCTATATTTATATATCTATATTATATCTATATCTATTCATATCAATCTATTATATATTATTTTTACTATTAATTACTATTTAGGACCGGATATTTTTGAATATTTATATTTTGAGTAATTTGTTTCCTCTCTCCTAATAATTTTTGTTTCTATCCACTCTTTACATCAGAATCCTAAAAAAAACATCTTTTTTCCGTTTCTCATTTTTTTTTTGCACCTTACCACTTATTGATCCCCCCCTGACTTTCGGGTTTCTCCTGACTCTGTTTAGCCCAGGTTCCTCAGGTTCTCCGCTTTAATGGGATCTTGTCAGCAATCCACAGCCGGTGAAAATCCGCACACGGACCCTAATCGCAGTATTCCGACCCCCACCTCATATTCAATGACTGAACTTTTACGCTTATGCGACTCGACGGGGAATAGGAAGGATCTGTTAATGGTTTTAAAAAAGAAAATATTAAAGTTTACTAACTGGGGCACTAGGATCATTTCTCATTTTTTCTTTTTTTATAAAATATATATTTGTTTAAATAATATAAAAGTAATTAAAAATAAAAACTGATGAAAAAATTGTTTTTAGATTAATTTCTTATATGATTTTGTAGTTTGGTAGTGACTTTTCATGCTCTGGCGGCTTAATAATATGTATATTTAAAATTTAAAAATTATATTAGATATAACATAAATTGATTATTAAGTTGATTGTATATGGAAGTATCATGATTCTTCTTTTATTTCACATTATTAAAATTTTGAGAGTGCCTCATTTCCTAATAGAGCTCTTTTATTATTCAAGCAAATTTATAAATGTATACGGTAGATTGGGTCCTACTATGGGATACTCAACTTCCAATGAGCTTTGCAGGAAAAACTATTCTGTCTGGACACCGGAATGCTTGCAAGCAAATTAGAATGGGCCATGTCACCCAGTACATAATGATACACAACAAAAAAATGACGTGATGCATCTTGATTCGCCTTCGAAAAACGTCGGGTGTCCGCACAGAATAATTTTTTGATTTGTAGGTTGTAGTTGAGCCAATTATTAGGTGAATGATGTCATCTGGGATGAACTTACCCAACAACTTTAATCATCAACAATATATGCTATTATACATCATCATGCTCATCAATACTATACAATATATATATTATTAAATGTATTATATTAATTGCAACATTTAAATAAATAATAAAATACATATAATTTAATTTATATAATAATAAATTTTGTTTTTGGTGAAGAAAATTTTATGTTTTTCAAATTTTCTCCTACAAATGGTGCAAGGATTGATAAAGTTCACAAGATTTTGTAGTAGACTGATCGCGATGTGAGTGAAATTTACATTTATTTATTTATGTTTTTGACTATTTTGTATTTTTTTAACACAATTATAATATAAACAAATCAAAGAGTAAAATACAAGAAGCAGTAAGTGGAAACGAATGAAAGTTATAGAAGATACGAAACATTCGAGAACTAGGCCGACCAGGAAAAATGCGGGGTGAACCCGACCGCGATTTTCAAAGGGGTGCCGTTTGAAATCGGGTCTGATGGGTTACAGAAATTGACGAACCGTTTAAAACGGTGTTGGGTTCGGATTGACCCGACGGGTTGAGGTCACGCCGGAACCCGTTTAATTCAAAAAAAAGATTTCAAAATCCGACCTTCTGCCCGCTGCCTGCCGCGCTGCCTGCCAGCGCTGCCAGCCCTGCACGCAGCCGCATGCCAGCGCCGCTGCCGTGCGCTGCCCCGCGCTGGCCAGCCCTCTGCCCGCTGCCATAGCTCGCGCCCTCACACGCTGCCCTGCTGCTCTCACTCGCCCCGCTTGCTCCTCCCGCTCGCCTCCGCCCACGCCGCCTCTGCCCCCTCGCGTCCGCCCGCGCCGTTCGAGCGTCATAACCCAAAATCGGGTCGGGTCAACCCAGCAACCCACCAGGTCGGGTCCAGGTTCGGATTTCCGACCCGTTTGTCTACCCGGGTCGGGTTAGCGTCGACCCGTTTGAACCCGGGTCAGTTCCGGGTTCGACCCGAACCCGACCCGTGACCCGAAATTGACACCCCTAAGTAACTCATATGTCGCAATCTAATTTTAGATAATTCAAAATCAAAAAGTAATTTATCTGAAAAATACAACGAATTAATATATAATCCAAACAAGTTTCCTAAAATAAAAGAATCAGTTTTGGAAATATTTTCTTTCCAAAAAAAAAAATCCTCAGCCACCCAATTAATTATTAATATTGTTTGACGCCCGAAACTATATAAGGCCAAGAGCAGCTCTCATAAATCCAAAAATGTCTAATTTCGTAAGGAGAGTGGACGTCCGAAACTTCAATCTAGAATACGATTTCTTCATCTCTGTTTCTCGGCGGTGGTCCGACGCCGTGGTGTTTCTAGACACAGAATTCCCCGGCAGCATCTACACCTCCGCCAAACCTCACTATGTTCTTTCTTCGGCAGAGCGCTACGCCCTGCTTAAAGCCAACGTTGAAGATATTCAACCCATCCAGGTCGGCATCACCATCTGCTACATTGGACGCTACAGCATCACCTGGCAATTCGATCTCTGCGATTTCGATATTAGCCGGGACCGTCACGTTCCTGAATCCATCGCCCTTCTCGAATCTTCCGGCCTCAACCTGAAGCACATTCGGCGTTTCGGTGTGCCCTTCGTATGGCTCGCTC